AAAAAAAAAAAAAAAAAAATAGGTAGTTATTTAATTAGGCACCTACATGAAGAGCAACTGCAGGTGCCTGCAGCGGATTGAAGAAGGAACTCTCAGGGACCTCGGCTGCTTTGGGCTTTGGGGTAACGGGACCAGATCCATACATCATCACGGACAGATACGGGGGGTTTCCGAAAATAATAGAGGACTCTAATATAGTAAAGTACCCTAGATAGAAGGGTCCTTATTCTAAGGACCCCCAAATAAGGTACCCCTTCTCTTCGGAAACTCCCACCTCCAGGCAAAAAAACGCCTGACAAAAACCGGCGAGGCTGCAGACTCCTAAGGAAAAGCTGCGTCGCTTGCCGGCTTGTCGTGAAGCTCATGAACAGCCCTCTGCGCCTGCAGCGTAGCTTTCGTGTTGGTGGCATTTAAGGCCCTGCAGGTCTGCCTGTGTACATAGGGTTGAGGGTTTAGCGCAGAGGGTCAGGTGAGAAGTCTAGGTCGACTCCTGCTGACAAGCTGGCAGCACTCTCTCGTCTACGTGAAGCCAACAACTCACTCCTGCCAGCTGCTTTAGGTTGATAGGCGAGACGCTGTGTGCTGAACCCAACCGGAAAACAGGCCTGTTCCAAGCTTGGTAGCCGGACGAATGCGCAACCAAGCTGGCTCGATGCCTGAAGTCGTTCGGTTTGCTTGATATCCGAACGAAGTTAACCAAAACCTTCCTCTTTGGCGTCTGCTTCTTCTTCTACTTGCGGCAATCCCAAAGCTAAAACCAGGCGAAGGAGGCACGAGTTCTGCTCAGATCGAAGAGATAAGATAATAAGTGCCTACAAGCTTCCCTGTCACCTTCGGTTCTGCAGAGGCAGGAATTAGACCAACCAATGCTCCTGTCTTCAAGCCCCAAGCCTGACAAACGAAATAAACAGCAACAAAACGAACGGACATCAGGACGACCACAACAATCGTGCCAACACCAACACTCTTCAAGCGTCGAAAGCCTGCTGGCTGATGATGAAGACCTCAAGGACCGGTCCATAAGGCTGGAAGGCTTGCTGCAGCTGCGGCCGGGTAACCTGCAGTCCAAGATATACATGCACACAGTATACATCTAGGTGTATTTTCTATATATATATATATATATTTCACACATGTGTACACATATCTATAATCGCATGTAACATGCTTGTATGCATGTGTGTACGTATGCACGCATGTACGTGTCTGCACAAAGTTTCAAAGGCATCTGGATATGTGGCAGGTCTTTTTCTGGGTTTGCAGGCTTTGCCTGCATGTAGGGCATGATGTCTATGCTTCATGTCTTCTATGCCCCAAGTTTGCTACAGAAAAACCTGTTGCTTAATGGGCGCGTCCCTTTCGCGGAATGCGTGAAACTTTCGCAGACACATTTCTTCAAACCTTAAGACCGCTTCAGACAAAGACCAAACGCATCCATATGTAATATATACGTATACACATATACACAGGCGGTCTTTCAGACTAGTTGTTCATGATGCCGGCCAGGATAAAGCGGCTGGAGCAAGGCATAGCCGATTGTGTTGGTCTTGGAAAGACCCGGAGTAGCTCAGTGACCTCATTTTAACGACAAACGGTATTTTAGACATCACTTCCAGGATCATTCTGCAGTAAACCACGATTGCCGTGGTAGTTCCCATGACTACAGTGGTAATGCATCACGAGCAGCAGTTGTAGCATTGCCAGCAGCAGGAAGTGAGCAACAATACAAAGCGGAAGACCAAGCAGCAGCTACAGCTTCATCAGCATCAGCAGCAGTTTGTGTCTGCGTACGTTCGGATGCACTGCAGTTGGTTTTGATGGCGTCGCCCTCGTCGTCGTCGTCGTTGTTGTGCTACCGTTTGTGTCGTCGCAACAAGATTCGAGCCAGCAGCCTCAACAGCTGCAAAGCAGGAGGAAAAGGTAGTATACAACAGTGTGTAGCAACAGCTACAGAAGCAGGAGCCCAATTTAGGAGAAAGGCGCTTCCATGCCTCGCGAGGAAGTCGGCCCACGAAGAGCTTGACTTCGCGGCCGCCCTTCTCGGCTGCAGGCCTCTGTCGACACTGTCTCTCGGGAAAGAACGTATGAAAGTATGTCTGTGGCTGAAACCATCAGCGTCATACTCACCAGCACCAACATCAAAAACGTCGTCACAAACAGCAACTGCCGCATCGACATCTACGTCAGAATCCATATCGCAACAGGCATCATCGCCATCACCGCGAAGATGCCCTCCTCCTCCTCCTCGTCATCATCCACGACATCGTGGATCAAGATAGACATGCTGCGACACTATGCACGAGAAGTCCTGACGGGAAGTCTTTACGCTGCGGACTAGGTGGAACACATTCCTGACGGCGTTCCCCAACATGCTCGCATGTCCCCTCAATTAGCAAAAACCCTCGTAGGTTGGCCCAATACTCAGATCGTGCTATTGAACCATGTATAACCCACTCTCGTGGACAGCCGCGGCAAAGCCCAGATCCTCAACCTCTTAACCCTTGACTTAGCTTTCGCATCCTGAACCAGAAATAAAGCCCCATAATGTAGGGGCCTTAATAATTTCAGCAGGAATTGGGGTAAATTATGCTATAATTATCATAGGGAGCCCCCACAATCCTATTCTGATTATTTATTTAGACCCCTAGATTACTCTGACTCCCAAGGCCTCTTCCTGTACGATGCTCCCCAACACTGGACCCTAAACCCTAAACCCTAAACCCTAAACCGTCTGGGCCTCCCTGAGCGATGGCGCCGGCGCCGGCGCTTGTGCTCGGGGCTCGAGGCCTCTGAGAGCGCGTCTCGCCAGTCTTGCTTCGGGTTTAGGGTCTAGGGTTTAGGGTCTAGGGTTTGTAAACATAGGGTTCAGGGTTTAGGGTGTGGAGTTGGAAAAAGTTTGGCACTTATAGGGTCTCAATTTGCTTTCGTGTTCGCGGTTCTCAGAGCTTTCAACAGATGTGAAACGAGATGCTGCCGGGATCTCTGAAATTTTTCTTCCAGCTTCCTGACCGGACTCCCTTGTTCAACTAACGAGCACACTTGCATATTGCTGAAGGGTTGGCGGATCTTAATGTTGGAGGGAGGGTATGCAATGTCTTAGGTCTTGGCGTTGCGGAAGGCACGGGCCTTTTTTTAGGGTGTAGGGTTTAGGGTTTAGGACAGGATGCTTTAGGCTACGGGTTTCTGTGGTGCAGGGCTCAAAGTGTGTGTTCCAGTCCTCAATCTCGAAATTGAGCCTGGCAGCGAAGAAACTAGGCTTCCCTCATAATCAGCGTAACCATCATCATTCTCATTGTCATCATCGCTATTACCATCATAACTTACCAGTACTATTCACAATAATATGATCATTATTGATAGTCGTATTATCATCACCATCATCATTCTCATCCTCATCCTGACGAACATGCTACATAAATTTAGAGGGAGAGAGCCGGAAAAGCGCGAAACGAAACCATCCAAACTAGCTGAGCTTGAGAACTCGAGGGTGCCTTGGCATGGTTCAGGAATTTGCTTGAGGTTCGGTGCATTTTCGGTGCAGAATCTCAGCGTAAGCCTCTTCAACACCACAGAAACGCCACGCTGACCCGGCCAGGTACCCACCCGATCCGATCCGTTCGTCCGGGCCAACTCTCCCCAGAAATCAGGTGCGAAGCATCCCGATGAAAACTTAACAGCTCACAAGCGCTGCATCACTTTTCACTACTAAACCTTGTTTATACTTATGTGTGCAAGTAGTTATGTTTGTATGCATGTACATGCGTCTGTCTGTGTGCATAAATACATACATGTGTATATATACATCTACATCTACATCTACATCTACATATACATATACATATACATATACATATACATATACATATACATATACATTCATGTGTATATATATATATATAGATTTATTTATTCATTCATTGATTTAATATATATATATATATATGCGTGTGTAGCCATTACGAACAACTTCCAGGTTCAACCCTCGCGATAAATCTAACCAACAGAAAATACAAGAGCACAATCCTTGTCACCAGGACCCCGAGAATAAACCACCAGCATCTTTCAGAAACCCTCAAATGAGGCAATGGCACTGGAACTTTGGTGCCCCCGAGACCTGGCTCGACTGTTGGATGCGGCTTGGAGTTTAGGGCCTACGTGGGATTTACGGCTGAGGGGGCTTAGGGTAGGGTTTTGGGTTTAGGCTTTAGGGCTTGGCGTCTACACACATTTAGGGTCTCTGGGTGTGGAGGCACAGAAGGGGCAGGAAGCCAGAGTTGCTACCGGGTAGAAGAGCCGAGGAAATGGGTAGAATGATTTCGCCGCTTCAAAGTACGTGGCCACGAACTTACAAGGTACTGCATGGTAGTCCGCTTGTTGCCACGAACGGACAATTGAAGCGAACGCTGGCGTCACGACGCCGACACACACTCCAGAGCTCTCGCTCTCATCTTTTCTCGAGGTGGGCTTCTTAGCTGGCTGCACAGTGCGGCAGCAATAATGCGTTTCAGACTACAGTATCCATCAATGGTGGTCTACTCGACCTGCTGAGACCATGGGTGTGAAATGACAACGCACGGCCTTCGGGTATATAACGACACATGATACATCCTGTAGTAGACTTCAGAAAGGGAAATGCCAGGTTGGTGACTCGCAGGCTTCGTAGACTCTGTAGACTCCGTCATTGTGGCCCCACCACCGTCACTGCTCGCCTCAACCGAGTCTCCACATCTTCGGGTGATCGCTGCTAGTAGAACACGACGAAAAAGGAGCGGGGAAACTCGGTTGAGGTGAAGTGGGCGTGGAAGTGACCCACCGAAAACGTGGGTTGATGGGAGCGAGACTTGCTTGACAGCTCCTCAGCACACCAACGACACCGGCAGATGGCTCAGAAAGTGAAAACGAGGCCCCCAGTCTTGACCTCATTCTGGCTCGACTGCGAAGATGTGCGAGGTCTGCAGACACGTTCACTTCTTTCGTGCTCCGGCTCCAGCTGCTGCATGACTATAATACAGGGGATGCAATCATGAAACTGGGAATTTGGGGTGTGCCATATAGGACTATAGTTTTGGGGACTACAAGGGAGTGCTATTGTCACGGCTTGTGGGTACGCCTCTATTAGGCATTTGATACGACCTGTTGACTCGCTCAGTTTCTAAAAATCGATGACCAGCTGGAGCGGCTCCAATTGCATCCCATACCCACTGACATCAGCGCTCCACAAGGGTATTTCTTAGCCCGACGCCCTGCCTGAGCCATGGTATCTCACTTTGCAGACTGGTACGCATTTTGCTCGGCAATCTCAACAAAGAGGACTTGTTATCAGTAAGCAACACAATGTCTCAAATCGGTTAAGTGCAGTGGTGGGATTCGTGGGCCGAAGCTGCAAATCTTTTTTGGTTTATCATCATCCCATCCGATCTGTCCCCCTACCAGCCTGAACATCCGAAACTACGAGGGCCCAGGCAGGTGCAGTCCAGCAGTGCAAAAGGATTCTCAAGCCACGCACTTCGGAATTTCAGCTTCATAGGAGGACCCAAGGTAAAACCAGACAAGGAGAGGCTGGAAAAGATGACTTGCCTGCCAGAATCTGTAGGCCCAAGGGTCCCGTTACGCGGGGTTTGCCCGGGGGATGCGATGCCGGTCCACAACAGGGATGAGACACAGGCACCCCCTCGTCGCTGCAAACCTCCGCATGACTTGCTGGGATAGCTTGTGGGCAGCTGGCATCTGCATCTCGAGGCATGGGATGACCCAATATTCCGTTTCATAAACAACTGCAACATTGACGAGAAGACAAGGCTGTGAAACAGTATCTGTTCAAACTCAGAGACCCTGTCTCTCTTGGTAAGATGAGTAGTATGCCTCCTGTTGTCTCTATTGCTGAACCTGATGCTGCATCACAATGATCGGCATGAGAACAGACAGCTTCTTGGTTTAGCCTTTCTCCTTCACTCCTTGTGCCTCTGCCGCTCTCCATGCTCGGACACATAGGCAGTGCTGCAGAAGTCAACTGGGCCCGTCGGGAGGCCGGCTTTAGCTTTTGTCAGGACTGCTTGTCACGGAACCTGGCCTACCGAAGAGATCATGCAGATTGTGCAGTTTAGCAAAATGCACTCATGGCGTCTTGGACCCTCGAGTGCGAAGATGAAGCAAAGAGCCGGGGATCACTCTCCGCTTCAGTTGAACTACAAAGACTTTTTGCAAGGAATGCAGAGCACTCCTGGCAGCCCGCGGCAACTTTGTGCCAGATCATGCCGGGGTGCAGGGAGAGTGATCCCAGTGCTCGCATGCTGCACAGCATCAGATCAGTCTTCTTACTTTTCTCGTCTCTACGTTGTCAACCGCCCTATGACGGCGCCGACACAGGACAGGACATGTTTCTGCAACTCTGCAGCATCGGTGGCCACTGCTACTGACTTCCCAATTATTGGGAGAGGCTGTGTGCGACCGACTGGTGACCAGGTGCCTCCACATCTCCTGTCACACACAACTGCATCACACACACTCCGCCGCCTCTGCTACAAAACCCTAAAGCCAAGCCTACACCCTGAACCCTAAACCCAACAACGACAGCTTCAGCTAGGACTGGGCAGCATGGAGGCTTCGTGTGACATGAGTCATGCCACCGTCCTCAACGGAGGACCTGAGGCATGGTGGGGACCTGCATGGCAAGCTGCCCATTGAAAGCTGAGTGGGAAACATGCTCATATATATATATATAGATAGATAGATAGATAGTTACGTGATATACATATATATATATATGTGTATCTATATATATATACATGCATATATTCACGAACTTCAAAACAAACAGCATGCGACATAAACATAAAGCATAAACGTAAAGGCAAACATACCTCTGTAGATATACACACAGACAACACACATGCAAACACGAAAACCAACAAAAGCGTACATGTCTGAATACATGTAGATGTACATCTGTACATACATGTCCATATACATATACTGCCAAAGAATGTAGATATATATATATATATACACCTATACTTACATGTAGGATCCGTCCGAGGATTGGCGAGGCTTTTCTGATTTGTTTTGAAAAGTTATTACACGGCTCACAGATACAGAGAGTATGGCAGGACATGTTTAGGGTTCAGGATTTGGGTTTAGGGCTTGCGGTCCAAGGTTTAAGGTTTAGGGTTTAGGGTTTAAGGTGTAGAGTTTAGGGTTTAGGATGTTCATGCGGCGCTGCAATTGGGAACAAAAGCGGCCTGCCACATTCCGCGCGGGGAAAACTGCATAGTAGGATGATGTGGTTGCCTCAACATCCACGGCAAACACTACAACCCTAAACCCTAAACCCTACACCCTAAACAGGCACCAGAGAGCAGACTCGCAAGCATCTGCAGACCACTCAGCTTGCTAAGTCCGCCACTGCGCTTGAAACGGAATCGGTGTTATCACCTGCTGCGGCTGAGGGATGTACCTGTCAGGGCCGAGTTGCAACAAGTAAGTATAGGGCAGTTTAGGGTTTAGGGTTTAATATAGGGGCCTTAATAGTTAGAATAGGGTTTTGGGGTACATTATACTATAATTACAATAAGGAACCGCCAAAATAGTACAGGTGATTCTTTTGGCCCCTACATTAGGGCCTAAAAGTTTTGGGGCAAGTGTCGAAAGGATGGAACTGAGCCGGAGCAAGCCGGAGCAGATCAGCCACACCTGATGCTGCTACAGCTGTAATCGGGGCCTGAATAATGAGTAGGATTTTGGGGTCTATTGTACTATATTTATAATAAGGAACCCCCAAAATAGTATAGGTAATTATTTAGGCCCCTCCTGATTGTAGTCATGTTCGCCACCTCTGTTGAGAGCACTTTAGACGCCTGGCACAGCTCGACTGTTTGCTGCTGTTTCCCAATCAACACTCTCTTCTTTAGCTTGCTTCATGTGGCTGTCAGTGTTTTTGGTTGCTCTGCTAGTAATGTTGCTTCTGCCTGCCATGGATGCTGCCGCTACAGCACTAATCTAATATGCTATCCTGACTCCGGCGTGCTGGGAGTACTGCCGATACTTGATGCGAGGATCCCAGCTACTCTAAGAGCTCCAAATTATGAACACCTGAAATCACACAAAACAAATCTCCAACAAAGTTGTGAGTGTATTGTTGTGTCGAGATGTTTCGCAGTCTCTGGGACTTTGCGCATCCCGCCTGTTGGCCGGTAGCCGCGCCGGGAGGCCTCAAAACCCCAGGCACATGAGAAACAACCCTGGACTTCAATAAGAGTTCCGATAAAGGTCGTGTAACTTTAGGGGGTTTCAGGAGGATTCCTAAAGGGGTCGCCATAAAGGGTTACTAGCCCGTAGTCTTATCGAACATTTCTCAAAGCGTCTTAAAGCCGACAGGCCTTCATGCTTGGCCTGGGTGAGGGTGAGGGTATATCAGCAACTGCTCCAAATGGGGGTTTCCGAAATTAGGGGACCCTAATAGAGTACCCTAAATAATAGGATCCCCAATATAAGGACCCCCAAATAAGGTACCCCAATTTTCGGAAACCCCCAAATGGATGTTTCAGGCGTCGGATTCAATGATACATTGCAAATATGTGGACCCTGACAGGGACAGTATTTTGAAGAATGCTCCATTTGTTCGAAGACTTCCTGAAATTCAGGAACCAAAAGCTGCAACACGTCAAGTGCGGAGACTTGCAAATGTTTATGCATGGACCTTGGAAATACAACGATGGATGTACTACCTCCGGCGGCGATGGTTGCTACAATACGAAAATTACTACTGATGCCGCTGCTGCTGAGATACTGCGATTTTCGCTATAATGAAAATCGCGTTCATCAACGACGTCAACTCGAACAATACCACCAACTGCCACGACGCCTGTTTCTCCCATGTTCAATGCCCCGAATCCACACTTGATTCACATGCCTCGCTCCGCAGCTATCGAAGACCACAAAGCATCTTGTGCTGCTGCGCTGTTTTACAGTAGCCACCGTCGCCTTTGTGCCAACGACACCCTAAACCCTAAACCCTAAACCCTAAACCCTAAACCCTAACCCTAAACCCTAAAAACCCTAAACCCTAAACCCTAAACCCTAAACCCATGCATCCTCGGGCCTGGCGAGACGACTCCTCGAGGGCTCTGCACTGGCAGCCCGGGAGACCTCGTGAGATTTCGAGACCACAAAAGAGTGACTACACATAAATAAGCAGATAAACATATATACATATATATATATATATATGAATGTGTGTGTGTGTTTATTTATTCGTTTATGCTACAATATATATATATATATATATACATACATATACATATATATATATATATGTGTGTGTGTGTGTGTGAGTTTACATATGTTTGTACTCACGTAAACATCTGTAGTGTGTGTATATACATGTATGCATAATATTCGATGAAGAATTGCGTACCTACAGTTACATGTAACATGTATATATGTATGTATGCAAGTTTGGAGGGGTTTAGTGCAGCCTTGCCCGACCGAGATAGGCTCACATTGAGGCTAGAAGAGGTGCTTCAAAGAGCCGGCAAGTCCTAGAGTCATGAACTCGGAATGACTCCGAGGATGGTCAACAAGCACTACCAACGTCACGGAGTAAGCAACGCTCCTCGAGTCTTCAAAGCTGCACCGCTCTTCTTTAGGCCCAAGACTCCGAAACATTCAGCAAAGCATTACCGACTCCGCACCCTGGCTGCTCAGGGGGGGACGCCACTTGCGGAGCAGCATCCTCCAAAATCGGACCCTACCTCACTCGAGGCCTTCACAAGGAGACTAGAGCTTTGTACAACCTCAAAGGCGTCGTCTCTACTCACTCGGACTCTCGGACTTTCGCACACAGTTACAAGTTCCTACCACTGTCGACCAGTGCCGTCACTCGTGCCACTGCGACCAACCACGTCGAATTCAGTCGACCTTAATCCTTGCATTCAACATCGCTACCTCGTCCTGAAAGTGTATGTATCACCAACGAAAGTAGTAGTAATCAGTAGCACCCTCATTCTTGCCATCATATTATCATTCTTGTTCTTAGCATTCTACTTTCTTTCGTCCGTGGCTCATATCTAGTCCCACTTATGATTTCCCTTATAGAACCCTAAACAGAAACCTCCTGCAACGGTGCGAGCGCATAGGGCGCCGTGTCACTTTGCATTCTTAGCCGTGGAGGGAACCGAGGTTTAGCACGGTTTTCAGAAAACAAACACACGGTTGTAGCGCCTGCCGAAAACTGTGAAGAGTTGGACAAGACTTCACGCAGCTGTTATCGCTTTTGTGACGATCAACATCATCATCTTCTTCTTCAACATCAGCGTCATCATCGTCATCACAATACCGTTGTGCACTATGCTGTGCGAAGAGGGCTCGAGCAAGGCATTGACGCTTGTGACAGTGCGTCTTCTGCCAGAAAAGTCAACCTCCTTTTGCAGCATGTTGTATGAAGTGGCGAAGGTCTGTAAATTTCAACAGTTGGGGTATACTCTCACAACCCATGATTTATTGTGACAAAGCATCAGCATCAAACATCCTTCTGCAGTATGTTGTATAAAGCGTTAAAGACTCTGTAAATAGTGTGTGGGCATGCTCGCCGATCGAACCGACGTCATTCTCCCTCCGCCGCCGTCCAAAGTGTCCCGAAAATGCCACAAAACCCAGGAAAGTAACCCTATGCGCACGCTGCCTCCTAGAACCCTGTTCGAACCCTTAAAAGTTCCCGTAGGGGGGTTGATCGAGCTGAATCCCAGCCATGTACTGGACGAACCTTTTTTGGGACTTGCACCCCAAGGTCTAGGCAGTGCCAGTCGTGTCCTGCACTTGCGTGCTGCCAGCAGGCCAGGCCGCGAAGACGACGCCTGACGAAGAGCTCGCAACAAAACTCCGCAGGTGGGATCTCTTCAGGGCTTTAGGGCTGCATCTCCCCCCCAAAACAGATTCAAATCCATCTCTGCCAGCATTTCGGTCTTAGGTTCACTTTCAAGAGCAAGGCCTGCCTGGTTGCACTTGCGGCTGGGACGCGACGAAGCCTTGGCGACTGTTGCAGGCGACAGGCGAATCTGTGGTAATACAGGGGCCCCAATAACTAGAACAGGGCCCGGATAAGGAAGCCCCAAAATAGCATAGGTAATTATTAAGGCCCCTATATTAATTAACAACCGGTAGTCAAGAGCAGCTCTTTATCACGGAAGATGGCCTCAGTCCATGAACCATTTGTCCTTTTGAAGATGAGGTCGCAAGAACTTACAGTCAAGACAATGCTTCAGATGCTGATGGTGGTAATAACAAGAACATAATAATGAGAATAATAAACGAGTAATATGTATGTATATATACATATACATATTTATGCATAGAGTATATTACAAATCTACGGCATAGTGTCACTTTGCCCATGGTGCCACGGGTTTGAGGTCAAGGCCCGGCGGCTGAGACACTGGAATTGAAGCAGGTGGCTGACCTGGTATATAATAGACCATAACAAGGTATCGGACTATAAACGTATCATAACACTATAACATACGATGAGACTATAATATACTATAAGACGGTAAAATACAAGGACCCTATAAAAAAAATAAACCATACAATAAGACTACAGTATACTATAAGACCATAGTGTAAGACTATAATATACTATGGGAAGCTATCGCGATGTGCAAGCGTCATCATCTGTGCCGAAGAAGCGGTGCGTGCATGGCTGCGACTACTACTACTACTACTACTACTACTACTACGACGACTACTACTACGACTACTACTACGACGACTACTACTACTACTACTACTACTACTGCGACTACTACTAAGTACTAGTACTTAGACTTGGCGTCTGCAGGCCAGCCGAGTGTGGGAGGAAGGAAACGGGTCCAGAGCGTCATCCGGCGCCTGCCGCGATGAAGGCCGTGCGCGGGCTGAAGGTGCCGGGCCTTCTCGTGCGATCGTCGTGGCAGTACTACTTAGAGGATCATGGGACTTAGTAACTAGGGTTATAGTCAAGGTAACTATACTTATAATTACCTATAACCCCAATTAAGGTACTTATAACTAGGTTATAGTCAAGGTAACTATACTTATAAGTACCTATAACCCCAATTAAGGTACTTATAACCTTACTTACTAAGTCCCATGATCCTCCAAGTAGCGCACTACTGGCGCAGTAGAGCATGAGCTGCACTAGAAGAAGCAGAAGTCGTAAGGCGAGGATGGCAGGAGGAGGAGGAGGAGGAGGAACTGAACGGTATGTCTGCTACTTGTGCAACACACGCTTCTGCTGAGGTTTCAGGTTTCTGGTGCTGGTGCGATGTTTCTTTTCCAGCTCGTGGTTCTATGCTGGGCAACATGGCCCATGATGATGGTGACAACCCGGTCCTGCTATCCACGACTGAATTCGTTGGAAAGGTTCATGTCTTCACTAAGGAGGAGGCACAGGATGAAACTTCGTGAGGCACGCTATGCCGCTCTATGTTGACAGGCCCAGCGCTATGACATCTTACGATGGGGGGTCTTGCGCTCCAGCATCAGCATCTGGCCTGCCATTCGACACCACGGATATGTTGCCTGAACGGCACAGCACGCACGCAGGAACACAGCACAAGTGAGGTCAGGCAAGCATGCAGGAAACCGTGATGAACAACTCGTGTTGACGGCTCGTCCTGTTGCTGCCTGTGAAAAGATAACGGTGCTTCAATCAGTTATACGGTTGATGATATAAATCCTGCATCACCCATAAGAAGGAATATACCATAACTCCCATAGTTTAGGGTCTCTAGGGTAATGCAGGCTTTATATCATCAACAGTTGAACATCAGTTACACTTGAAAAGCAGGCCAAGGATTCATGACGAGCTTTGCATGTCTTCCTTCCCAAGGCCTGACGATTCTCGTGGAGTCAGGATGCGCCTGGGCACCGCCCAAGTAGCCAAGGCTTCCAGAGGCTTCGAGGAGTTTTAAATACGGCCTTGTTGAAGGCTTCAGGGATTTGGGCTCGTAGGGTTTACTGGGGTTTACGCTTTTAAGGCTTAGAGGTTTTGGGGTTCAGGGGTGTAGCAGCGAGTAGCTTCAGGAGTCGGAGTACAGAAAGATACCTACCCCCACGACAGGCAGAGGGAGAATCCGCCCCAAAAAGATTCAACTCAGAGTTCACAAGACTGCGTCTCGCATGTGTGTGCGTGTGTGTGTGTATGTATGTATATATATATATGGGGTCTACTTCTGCAGTATGCTGTTCATGTCTCTGCGCATTTCTTCTTACAGGCAGCATAGAACTTTCGACCTTTAACTTCTCCAGCCCTGAAAGCCCTACAGCCATCGGAAGACATCCACTTACCACGAAATGCCCGAAGAAGCCCAAGCGTGAGACAAGGCTGCTGCCCACGAGGGAGATGATGTTTAACATGCCGGGGGCAATTTCTCGCCTCACTGCCGATTCCTTTTGTAAGTTCCAATATTACAAACTCAGGCTTGCACTTCTCAATCCAGCTTGGCCCACGAATCCAACATCCAAAGCATCCAAAAGCCCTTAACAGTACCATAGTAGGGCTCTATACCAGGGTTCCCGGAAAGACTACTACACCACGGTTCCCCTAAAGGCTACTATACCAGGGTTCCCTTCAGAGGTACTATACCAGGGTTCTCTATACTACGGCTGATGACATAAATCCTGCATAACCCACAATAAGGAATATATTCTATGCCATAATCCCCAGAGTTTATAGGGTCCTTAAGGTAATGCAGGATTTATATGGGTAGTTCTCTAAAGTAGGGTCCTTTTTGGGTCCCCAATATAGTACGGCACCCTTATACTAAGGACCCGAAAAGGGGCCCTAGTTTGGAAAACGACCCAGGAATATACCTTAAATCACATTAGGGATCCTACTATAATCTAAGGTATATTCCTTAATTAAGGGATATTCGAGTCTCTGGGATATCATCAACCCTAGGGTTCCCTTGAAAGGCCGAAAGTCTCAACCCCGAGCTCTCGACTCCCGGCAGGCCCTCTGAGGCTGGAGCCCGGAAAAATGCCGGTAGGGCACAGAAGGAGAATTCGACTGGCTGTAGCCGCCTAGGGGAGTTAGGGTTTTAGGGGTTCGGGGTTCAGGGTTGAGGGGTGGCTTGGTACTGGATTTGGAGACATGAAGCATGGTTTCAAGGTTGAAGGTTTCGGAGGTGGCGACTTGCACATGAACTTGTCCATCTAGTCTATGCATTAGTTTAAGATGTGTGTTTCGCACTGCATTACTAGAAAACCGTTTGTATGTACTGCAATCTGCTGCCAAAACAACATGAGGACGGTCCATTGCATGGTCATGTTCTTGTCGGTCTGGTCCATTCCTTTATCAGATTGCGAGCACTTGTGATCTCCAGGGTTCAAAGCTTAGCCCCATGCTCGCGGAGTATGCCGAGTCCTGGCAATCGATGCTACTCATCTTTGGGTTCAGGGCATCTTCTGCGTCAGCTTTTCTGTTTTGGCTGCAATCTTTGGGGTTCAAGTTCCGGGTTTTGGCCCCGATTGATAGTCTGATAGACCAGCCTGTAACCTTTGAGTGCACGAGCCGAGCTTCGGAGAGGCTCCTATGGGACGCTACACAGTCGCCATCTGCCTGAACCTGTCAAGCTCACTTGTGCCGAAGCCGAAACCATATCCTCGTTGCCTTCCCAGAGACTCCAATATCCCTTAATTAAGGAATATACCTTAAATTATAGTAGGATCCCTAATATGATTTAAGGTATCTTCCTTAATTAAGGGATATGGGAGTCTCTGGGTTGCTATTAAAGATAGGATCGTCCATGAAGCCGAATAGCCTAGTCAAGTCTGTGGCAGCCCGTGCCTGACGAGACACCGAGACAGGCAGCTCCGGGGAAGTCTTCATGTCAGGAGAAGTCTGTCGCACAGCCTCGCTTTTGTGTGCTAGAGCCAGAGCTGGGCGATGCGACAGCTCTCCTCTCTGGGGCCGTGGCAGTGGCCGCAGCAGCTGCTGCAGCTGCAGTGCTCGGCAATTGCCTGGAGGAGAGGAGGTCACGCATCATTGATGCACCGCGGTGAGGCAGCGAACAGAGTACGTTGGTGTCCTACTGCAAATCCTGCTTCTGGACTGTGACCGAGGCCCGGACGGCTGGGTCTGAACCCACTGCCGCCGCACCGGCCTGTCAGACATGCTTGCCCCTACATACAGCTCTCGTCAGACCGTCAGACCATCACAGAAAACGGGAAAGCAAGGATGCAGGCGACTGAGTCTGCTGCTGCAAGTCCCCGCGCGAGGTCTGGCGTGAGGCTTGCCCCGACGGGTGCTCTGGGCCCTGTGGGTTCAAGTACCTCGGCACCGGCACAGTGCGTTTATGCATTCATACCTATTTGTTACATACATGCATAGACACACACACACACACACGTGCATGCATGCATGCAT